ACATATAACATTTAGCACATAAAGCATTTTAGGCAACCCTCCTAAAATAAACTAGTGCTCGTGTCTAAAATATAACAGACACACATCTCAAAATTCCACTTAGCATTCTAAGTTTAAGTCTAGAAATCCTACAAATTCCTAGTTCGCTTAAACTAATGCACTGATACCAACTGCGACATCCCCAAAATCTTGGCCAGAAAAGACCGATTTTCATTTATGCTTTTAAAATAAATTCAGAGTAATCCTTTTGATTTGAAAGAGTTGCGGAATTTGTTCCCAAAAACAAAACATGATAAAACAATGTTTACCAAAGCATTTCATAAAAGAAATGTATTTTTCATTATATAATCAAAACTCGGGGTGTCATGTTCCGATATAGACCAATAAGCATAAACGATAACATTACAAGTCATTCAACAAATATATACATATACAGACTTGTAAACAAAACAACTTGATGGTTCATCCATCTTACGCCCTTGCGCCACTTCCTGTAATACAAATAAAACTGAGTGGGTCAGGCTTGGGAGCCTGGTGAGCATATAGGGTTTTCAACCCACAATAAATAATTAAATTAATTATTATCAACCAACAATAACCCAGTTACCCATTCCCGTTATTCTCACTTTATGTCCCTAAAATAACTAACACAAGGGACCTAATCTAAGAATATTTTCATCGGGGTGACAACACATGCTGCGGGGTTTCCTCAGCAATATAAGTCAAATAAGGCAACCATGAGGGGATGGAATACAGCGAATGAACACCCAAGTTCATTAAACCTACAGGTTATGAGCCTGCTAGCGTTCCACTAGACTGTCTAGAAAAGTTCGTGGTCGTCATCTAAATTCCGCTAGATGACTGAATCAAAACAACAACGAGGCCTCTCATCTGTTTATTACACACCAACTATCTACCCATGTTCTACCCAACATATTAGTAGATAAAAACATACATTTTTATACATATTTTCAAAACCTGTATAGCATTCTTGATCAATACATTTTCCATATAACAGATGAGGCACACACACATAACACGTATTTCATATAGAAATAATCATATCTGTAAGATAGAAGAAAGTGAATATACATTCACACACATAACAACAAAATATACACATAACACGTATCTCGTATAAAATACTTGATAGTTATACGTTAGGAGAAAGTAACAACGCATTCACACGTATAAACGACAATAAACTTAATACACTCAAACCATACTTGTATTATTCTTGCGTTTATGAAAGGTAGTATACACTCACTTGATCAGAAGATGATCAGACAGCACTACGGCGGTGTAAAAGTAGTAATCTGTAGCAGATCTGGAAGATCTCTACAAAAATCGAACTTCTCGCGGGCAGAGCTTCGGCTCGGAAACCGCACTTCTCGGGATCTTCGGGATCTCGGGACTTGCTTCGGGACTCAGGAATATTACCGGGGCTTCGGGGTACTTCTAGCATGTAAATCGAGGTAAAACGGGAGAGAGAAGAGAGAAAATAGCAACCCTAAACGGCTGGCCCTTCAAATCTACTTATAGGGCAATTTTGGCCCTTGCCACGTCGTGGCAACCTTTTTCCACGTCGTGGGCTTGGTCGTCACTGCATGCGTCATCCCAAGTTGCATCTGGGGGCCTCCCGGAGGTGTCAGGACACTTGTCACGTCGTGGCACTGCTTGCCACGTCATGGTCTCTGACAGTTTTGGGGTTTCGTGCCCCGAACTTCAGAAATTCATAACTTTCGCATACGAACTCCGTTTTCGACGTTCTTTATATCGCCGCGAAGGTGAGATCATGATCTAAAACTCTCGTTTAGACTCCATTGGTAAATTTTGACTTTATTTTTAATATATTATAAGTATATTACTTATATATTATTTTTAGTAGGCCGGGACAGGAAAACTCCGTTCGAAATTCATAACTCCTTCATCTGAACTCCGATTCCGTCCGTCTTTCCGTCGTTGCACTACTATCGATGAGATCTTCAATTCTCATTCAGATCAATAAGGATAGATATCTATCTACCTTAAATCCACTATTTACATCGCGCTGGGTCGCGCTGGGTCGTGCCAGTTCTGTCGCGAAACTTCGACAGGTCATAACTTCTTCGTTATAACTCGGATTTCGGCATTCTTTATATATTCGGAAACCTCGTTTCAACTACTACAACATTATCCATAAATATAGGCTTTATCTAACATTTCATTTTGATGCTTATTTTTATTCTTAATTAATCAAACCACATAATTAAGCAATTAAGCACAAAACACATAATACTCAAATAATACACTTCTATTATTTCAAAACGGGTTACAAAGGTTAACCTAGACCATTACATTGCTAAAAATGGCAAGCCCAGAAACACAGGCGTTACAGATCCCATTTCTTTCAAATCCTCTAAATCCGACGCTTTGCCTTTGCCTTGGCTTTTTGATTTGTCTCTTCCTATTGGTTGAGAAGGTGGTGAAACTGTAACAGGTTCATTTTTGTTTAGATCAAATTGAACACGAGCATCTGATGTAGTGTGGTCGGACACAGATGTTCTGCTGCGTTTTGACCCACTGTTGATATGTTCATATGATGTTTTGCTACTCAACGATTTCCTGTTATCTTTCAAAAAATTCCAAACTTCAAGAAACTTGAAAGCCTTCAGATTTTTTTTTTGATACACTTTCAACGTTTTCTTCAAAATCGATTCATCGCTTTCTCCACTTTTCCACTGACGTTTCATGTTATTCCACAAATCATTAAACAACATGACTTCCTTGTTCATCTTCCCCCATTTGGAGTACACTTGATGTTTTGAACGGTATTCTCCACGATTCATTCCTTTGTAAAACTTGTGTAAAACGCGAATCTAAAAGCGGTCATGCTTTTGGTCTTTTCCAACACTAGCATCTGCTGAAATATTGATCCAAGATTGTGCCAACACTAACGCTTCCAAAGGTTCCCAACATCTAGCCTCCACCTTCTCTTTTCTTTTAGCTGATGCTCGAGTGGGCTGAGTTTCTGTAACGAATTCTGGTTCAGAATCAGAAACGACAGTTTTTGGTTGTGTTTGTGTTTGTTGAACAAACTCAAGTTGAGATAAAAAAATCAAATGGATTAAAATCCGGGTCGGGTTGTGGTAGTGGTGGTGTTTGTGGTTGTGGTTGCGCTGGTCGTTGTGGAAAATAAGGAAACATACCGTCGTAGTGGTAATACGGAGGTGAAAAAATCAGTTGATCAAATGAAGGTAGTGGGGTGTCGGCATTTCTGACTGGTGTTTTTTCTTTGCTGGGTCGTTTGGAAGATGACATTTTTCAAAAAGAATAGAGAAAAGGAATAAAGATATAATAAAAGGTTGTGTAAAAATGTTGTATAGAATGGTAATATATATATATATATATATATATATATATATATATAGGGAGTCGTTCAAATGAGAACCAAAAAAGGTTAAGAACCGTAAGAACCTTTAACTTTAAATGTGTATAAAGGGTTTAGGGTAACCCTAAACCCTAAACCATAAACCCTAAACCTTAAACCCTAAACCATAAACCCTAACCCCTAAACCCTTTATAAACATCTAAAATTAGAGGTTATTACTGTTCTTAACCTTTTTTTGTTCTCATTTGAACATTATTATATATATATATATATATATATATATATATATATATATATATATATATATATATGTGTGTGTGTGTGTAGTAAAGTTTAAAAAAAAAAAAAGAAATTAACCACAAAGACCATTCAACCGTCAAAAAGCATTCAACACCCAAGGACCAATCAAAATTCGCGGTATTCCCTAGCCGCACTGCGGCCAAGACCGCACCAGACCACAGTCTGGGGGGCGGTGTTTCTCGTCTACGTGGCACAAAGTGCGGTCTGAAACTGCACCCACAACGTACAGCCTTAGAAGTTATGACGTAACTAATTTGAGTATTAGTAACTTAGGCATGTATATCTTATAGTGTCCCAAATGCACCTTGATAGACGAGTTGTACTGAGAACTTTAGTATTATCATATACGATAGTTTTGAATTATTCCAATAGATTAAAACCATATTTCAACATTTTTTAACACAATATCACACAACGGTTAGATATCATAGATTAATAGAACAAGGCATGCATCCATCATTATTAGACTTTACAAAGTAGTGGATTGAGGCTATTGGTGCGCCCCAGCAATCTACGTTAACACTTAATCGATCATGATCATATACTAATATCCATGACGATTTTTTTTTTTTTTTGGGTAGAATGTACTTAAAATAAATATTATCAAAGATGATTAACTTATTAAGTTCTAAACAAAGTTAACTTCCGGTATCTATGTCTTCCTTTTTTTGTATTTATAACATGATAATAAATGTTTTTGTCACTTATTCTGTTTGGTACAATTACTGTACATAGCCTTCCATTCGTTTCAAAATAAGAGGACCCCTTTTTGAATGATAATAGAAGGTATAATCTGAGTATTGACTAGTCAAAATGACTAATATGTAAGTGCAAGAAATGAGTCATAAATATATGTACAAAAATGGAAATGATATTTATTGCCCAAAAAAGACCATAATAAATAACAGTACCACCATGTTAAATATATAGGGTTGACACCGTCAAACTTCATCACTCCAAAAATTCGAAATTTTCGATTTCATCTAAGATAGTATTTGCTTAAAAGAAATCTACGACTTATTTAACTCATATTAAAAACTATAGAAAGAAATTACAAAAATCTGGGACATTTTGAAATAAGATCCTTAAAAAATGATATTTTTTTGCAAGACGTCGATCAAGACCTTTTTGTGAACTAGTCGTGTGCTTTCCATGCTCTGAAACTTATCATCGAGTAGTCGTTCAATCAGTCCATCGATCAAGTTGTTATCGCCGATCTCATTTCCTTCACCTTCTCATCAATGCAACCAGTATTCACTTGCTACTGTAAATAAATACATTCAGAAGACAATGTGTGTACAAATGTGTAACAGTGTGTGTGAGAGAGAGAGAGAAAGAAAGAGCGTGTCACGGGTTTGTCTTGAAAGGCTCTTATTTCACAGTCCCAGACCAGACACTCAGACACATATTCTCTCCTTCCTCTCTACATAATCGAGGCTGCCCCTGCCCTTTTGGCTTCATCTCTATCTCTCTCTCTCTTTCTCTCTTTCTCTTTCTTGGAGTAATATAATAGTTGGAGGATTAGACTTAAAGATTTTTACATTCCCATATATCTCCACCAACCCCCATCTCACCCACACACATACACACACTCTCTCTTTCTAGAATCCTTAAACAAGAAGAATCAGAAGAAGATTTGTTGATATAAGGAGAAGAAAGAAGTGATTTTCATGGCGATGATGTTAGATAACTCATGCGATGGAGGGATGCTGTTATCGTTAGACTCCCACAAAGCGGTTCCTGCTCCTTTTCTCACCAAGACATACCAACTGGTTGATGATCCGACGACCGACCATATCGTCTCGTGGGGTGAAGATGACACCACCTTCGTCGTCTGGCGCCCACCGGAATTTGCACGTGATCTACTTCCGAACTACTTCAAACACAACAACTTTTCGTCGTTTGTGCGCCAGCTTAACACCTATGTAAGTGGAACACTTATGATAGATCAGTACTACTACTCGGATTCTTTTTGTTTTGATTATTTATTGTGAATCATGATGCTTACTTTCGGTTGTTTTTTTGTGTTTCGTTTTATTAGGGTTTTAGGAAAATAGTACCGGACAGATGGGAGTTTGCGAACGAGTTCTTCAAGAAAGGAGAGAAGCATTTGCTGTGCGAGATCCACCGCCGGAAAACATCACAACCACAAGTCACACTTAACCACCACCACCACCACCCTCATCACTTCACCGGGCTTGGCGGTGGCGGTGGTCTACAAGGCGGCAATGGGTTCTTTGCTTACCCAACGTCTACACGGAGTATATCCCCACCAGACTCCGATGAGCATTTATACTGTGATAACTCACCACCTCTCTCTTCCCCCACCACCACCGCCACCACCACAACAGCTGGTATGCTTGGGATCTTTCATAACGGTAACCACAGCATTAACAGTGGTAGAGGAGGCAACTCCGTGACGGCGTTGTCGGAGGATAACGAACGGTTACGGCGAAGCAATAACATGTTGATGTCGGAGTTGGCGCATATGAGGAAGCTTTACAATGATATAATTTACTTCGTACAAAACCATGTGAAGCCGGTGGCTCCAAGTAACTCATACCCTTCATCACTTCTTGTATCTTCAAATCATTCAAACATGAATGGCCAATTACTAATGCAAAAACAACAGCAGCAAGCATCGTTTATGAATGTGGGTAGTAAATCACAACCGCTTCATGCTTCCACAGTCAACAACGTTGTTGTGGACGATAGCGTTAACGTTAGTAGAACAAAGCTTTTTGGAGTTCCATTGTTGTCGAAGAAGAGATTGCATCCTGAGTATGGGAGTAATAATACAATGGTGGAGACTCATAAGCCAAGGTTGGTTCTCGAAAACGATGATTTAGGGTTAAATCTTATGCCTCCATCTCCCTGTTAACAATCTTTCTCCCTCTCAGAGAGAATTCATTGATCATGAAATCTTATCGAGTTTAGTCGAGTATTTAATTTTTCTTACTAAACAATTTCATTTGGCACGATTTAGTTTTTTGAGATCTGTCTGTATGGGTGAGTGTGTTAATTTTGTGTGGACCGGATCAGATGTAAATATAAAGTTTCAGAGTCGCCATGGAAATGAATGAGCTAGTATATGATCACAAAACGAATCTACAAGTAACTCGATCAATAGTACCAAGGGCCATGATTTCAACATATTATTTTCTCTTTTTGAGGTTTATCCGATAATGATCGTATTATGCAGTGGGAATGTGGGGGCAATAATTATTGGGCTCGATTATCAACCCCTTCTTCTTTATAGCATTTCTTTCTGGGAATTTTGTTTTAATATCTGAAAGTTTCAGTTCAGTCTCATTAATGCCCTAGAAATGAGATGAGAGGTGCCTTTCAGTGATGCCTTCTGTGCAGAAGGGTAGAAGGGAGAAGTTCATGAGACTTCTCATAAGACAAATGCTTGTGTTCAGTGCATTAATGGTTATTATACGTACTGTACAACCCATGTACGTCTCCATCAAGGTCAAATTACATTTTGAACCCTGGATCATATTTTTGAATTATTATTTCATTTTATTTATATGCATAGTTTTTTTTTTTAGTATGAAAGTAGAGAGTCATGATGGTTGAATATTTGAACACTTGAAATCATCATCAAATCTATTTTCAAGATTAAAATCATTTGACTTAGAGAAGTAGCATGGAGCATGATCCAGAAAAAGGGAAAGAAAAGAAAAAGGGAGTCATCATAATCATCATATCTTTGTGATTAAGGTTGATTTATGATTAATAAACTATTGTTATCACTTATAAGTAAAATTGATTTACTGTTTTTTTCCATTAGTTATTGTCATTTTATTATAATTGTTTTTGCTGAAGAGATCTATGATTCATGCCATGTGTATAAAGAAGACAAAGAGAGGAAAACAAAAACGATTTTAGAAAGAAGTAAGAGAAAAAGGCAGTTTGAGTTGTTCGATGAAAGTGAAGTATGGGAGAAAAAATAGTCTAAAATGTTGGGTTTGAAACGTTCCAATCAATCACACACTTACTTTTGTCTATCTGAAATGGATTCAAGGTTTCCGATTAATGTACGTATTGTCGTATACAATTTGTTTATAAAAACGTACATAAAATAACGATTTTTATACTGGTTTTACCTTATCGAACATTACAAAACTTCTTCCGAATATTTACATGTGTTGCTTCTTCTCCAACTTCTGACCAACAAAGATTAAGAAAGAAAAAGATCTTTTGCATATACTGTCTCTTTGGATCCCTTTTCTATTCTTTATGCACCCATCGTGCAAAATTCTCGACAAGTTCATAAAAAAAGCGTCATAAAATGGGAATTCGCAAAGCCAATTTTAATGGTCTTTTAATCACATGCATATTTTATACATTACAATTAGAGTTCAGGTCCATTTCGTCCCTGGCAGGCAAAAATGTGCAAAGCAAAAGCAACTTTATTTTGCCATAAAAAACATCTTTTCAAGGTTGAATAATGTTATTCTCCATGAAAATAAAGCTTCAGCTAGCATAATTTGACTAAATAATCCCAACCATTTCCCCCTTTTCCTTAAATTGGCTCCATCTTTTATAGGGCATTTTTGTTTTCGATATAACAATTAATTTGACTATGATTTTGTACAAGAATTTAAATTAAAAAGAAATCTTGAAATTGTGAGTAACAAAACAATGACAATTCTTTAAACAGAATTAAGGTATTTAATATTTGGAACGAAATAAGCACATAAACAAATAAGCTTCAAATATTTCCGAAAAGCCAAATCGTTTTCCCGCCTTGCACATTATTCATTTCAATAATCGATATTTTCAAAATTTGTATTTTTTAATATATATATATATATATATATATATATATATAAAATCTCCACATGGTGTCTATCAACATGGAGAAGACATGAAAGTATAACCCGAGAGACCATTTGGAGCTAGGTGTGCATGGCTTAATCGATTCAATTCGAACCCATTGATCCAACTACGAATAGAACAATTGGATTGGATATCCGATTACAATTGGATTGCAAAGGTTTTGAAATTTCATCCAAATGGATTAGATTGGTTATTGGATCACCCTGAAAGTTCAATGGATAACCGAACCGTTATGATCAAATGTTCATCCAATTTGATATTCAGTATTAATCCAATAAATATCTAATTAGCATTAAAGAAAAATACATATATAACCAATTGTTTTAATGATTTTGCATGTTTGAACCTTGGTCATTGAAGTTGAAGAATTGAAGTGTCATTTGTTGGTCTCATTTAACATAATTGTTTGCAGTATTAGTTTTTATTATCATAATTATGTTTGGTTGTTATTTGATAGAAAAAGGATTCGAATTGGTTGGATAATGGATAATAATTAGGTATACATCTAATGGATAAAGCAGATGCAATCCAACATCCAATTGTATCAGTTCGGTTCAGATATAAATTCCAATGGATAATTGGATTAGATCGGTTCCATCAAAATCCATTGGATTTATAACAACAAACACCGAGAATTTAAAGCCCTATGAAAGTTACAAAGATATCAATGAGTTGTGTCAGGTTTATATGTCGTATATAGTGTCAACATATCATCATTGTTAGAACTAGTGTGGGCGATACTGATGGGGTTTCTTGGATACAAAACAAAAGATTTACACAACGGACTCATAAAGCTATTTTATGGGCACATGCAACATAGAGATCTATGACATATTTTCATTATCGAAACATATAATGCAACTAAAGAACTAATCTATTAATTTCGAAAATCAACTAGATTAAAATACATATGTTTAGTTATAATCGAAGATAGCAACCTTGAATCTTCAAATTTTCCTTTAGAAAGCAAGCACCATTAGTGTGGATGCAAGTAATGGCTCCCACCCAAAATCCTTAAAACCTTAGGAACGAATTTATGAGAGAAGAGGAATAATGAAATCTGATTTCTGCTTGCGTTTGTGTAAGGATCGGTTTTTATAGGGTTATGATCCCTATTTATAGTTGGTCGATCTCCATGATAAACCCTAATTTGAATAATTAAATAATAGAATTTAATCTATTTGTAACGTCCCAAAATACAAGGTAATAAATTTTATTTCTAAATCAACCAAATAATTCATTCATTACTTCCAAAAGATCGGAAAAGTATCGAAAGGTGTTTCAAAGTAACATCAGAGTAATAACAAAATGATAAGCATAAAACCGTAAGTACAAAGCTTATTGAGCTCCCTAAAATGCCACACCATACATAACATAACGGGTTTATGTCAACCTAAAGCGAATGTTATGAGCCAAATCATAATCTTACAATTAATTCTTGCCATGGGCCAAAGCATGTTCTTTACTTGTACAAGTGTTAGGGGTCAGATCTTGGTCTTCCATATATAATTGCCTGGGGCCAGATCCTGGTCTTTCACACAATTTCCACGGGCTAGATCGTGGTCTTCTATACAAGCATCACAAAGACAACTAGCATCCTACATAGTATAGTGAGAAAACTTACCTCACAAACGCAGTCTACAACTTACAAGCGCACATAGTCAAGAAATAGGTGTTACACACCACCTACTGAATCACACAAGGCAAATGTCTAGTCTACCTTCTAAAACTAGAAATATGACTAAAAGTCAACTAGTGTAAAAAGTTAGAGGTCAATGGTAAACGTCAACTTCATGTGACCTCCACACCGTGGCCAATCTATGGTCAGGTCATGGCCATCCAATTGAGTCGCAACCTAAATCCACTACCACATCGTGGCAGGCATGTCACCATGCCATGGCGTAGACCAGGACAAAATAGTCGTGACGTTCTCCCTCGCCACGGCGTGACACCCTTTTTTCTATGTCTTGGATACTACACTTTGGTCCACTTAATGGGTTATGCCCTAAATCTGAAGGTCTCTTTGATCAAACTTTCCAGCAAGCTTCTTAGGGCACTAATGGTCCATAAAATCCAAACATTATGGACATGTATGACTCATGCATGTCCTTCACCCAACTAGGTCAAACTGAAGAACAAGTGGCCAAGAACTCATGCATGGCTCTCAAAATAGAATCGACTTCTAGATCTAAGAGATATAGTGATCTAGGGATCAGGGTAAGCCATAAAGTTACAAACCTTATCTCATTTCATCACTCAAACTTCATATATGAACCAAAATGTGAGAACAAGGATCTGATTACGTAGGGACAAGTCGAGTGGACCTTTTAATATGAAAAAAATAAAGTTGTAATATTAATACCTGGGAGTCAGGGCATTACAATTCTCCCCCAATTGAACTAGAATTCATCCTCGAAGTCCGTTGTGGTGAACATCTTCGGATAGTGGTCCCACATCTCAGCCTCTGGCTCCCATGTCCACTCGGACCCTCTTCGGTGTTCCCATTGTACCTTTACCAAATGTATCTCCTTGTTCCGCAGAAACTTCACCTTTCTTTCTAGAATAGCCATGGGTTTCTACACCAATTTTAGGCTTTTGTCGACATGAATGTCTTCCAATGATACTATGGCCTCCTTGTCCAATATACACTTTCACAATTACAAAACATGAAAAGTTTTGTGGATCTGACTAAGTTCCTCAGGAAGATCTAATTTGTAAGCTACCTTGCTAAACCTGTAAATGACCTTGAATGACCCAACATATAAGGGACCCAACTTCCCCCTCTTCCTGAAGCAGATCGCGCCCTTCAAAGGCGAGACCTTAAGGAGTACCATGTCGCCGAACTGGAACTCTAACTCCGATCGGCGTAACTCTTCTGTCTACTTTGTGTAATCTGCAATTGTTGTCTAATCTGCTGAATCATCTCAGTAGTTTGTAAAACTACTTCTGTCCGCCCCATCACTCTATGACCAACCTCACCCCAGCAGACCGGGGTACGACATCTCTTCCCGTACAACAGCTTAAAAGGTAGGGCACCAATACTTTAATGATAGTTGTTGTTGTAGGAAAACTCTGCAAGGGTTAGGTGGGAATCCCAGCTTCTACTGAAATCTATAACAAAATCCCTCAACACATCTTCGAGGGTCAGTATAGTCCGCTTGCTCTGGCCGTCGGTCTGCGGATGATAGGTTGTACTAAAATGCAGCCGCATGCCCAGCTCCTCGTGGAACTTCTGCTAGAAGCGGGAGATGAATATAACATCTCGATCGAAAACAATAGATATCGGAACTCTGTGGCGAGCAACGATCTTGCAGACATACACATCGGCCAGTTTCTCGGCCGATGAACTCTCCTGAATGGCCAGGAAATGGGAGCTCTTGGTCAATCGATCAACGATGAACCATATAGCATCATATCCATTCGCTGCCCTCGGCAACTTGATAATGAAGTCCATCGTGATCAGTTCACATTTCCACATGGGAATCTCTAGAGGCTGCAGCTTGCCATGCGACCACTGAGGCTCGGCCTTGACCATCCTACAGGTTAAGCAACTCTCGACGTACCAAGCGATTTCTCGCTTCATGCATGGCCACCAGTAGCTAAAACTCAAATCCCAGTACATCTTGGTGGCTCCCGGGTGAATAGATAAGTAAGACTTATGAGCCTCCTCCATAACCGTCTGCCTGACTCCATCAGACATCGGAACCCATACTCGACCGCATCGGGTCAATAATCCCCGGATATCCTGCATAAACC